CGCCTGGGTCACACAGGAATCAAGTCTCTCTGAGGAGCGCCTGGGTGGCTCAGTCAGTTAAGGATCTGACTTCGGCTCAGGTCATGATCTCAGGGTTGGTAAGTTCCAGCCCCACATGGGGCTGTGTGCTGTCAGCGCAGAGCCTGGTTCAGATCCTGTCTCCCTCTCTCTGCCCCTCTTCCGGTCACGTGTGCATGCTCCCTTGCTCTCAAAAATAAATAAATATAATTAAAAAAAAAAAAAGGTCTATCTGATGCCAAGTCTATCTGAGGCTTTTTCCAGTAAGCCAGGTCATTCTGTGTCAGGTACCTCCCATGTTTAGAAAAAGCTGCCTTCATTTCTGAGATATCATGTGAAAGGCACTGGGAGGGCCCCACTGCCTGTGACACTGCCCTGAACCACAACCCTAATTAGAATTGCAAGGGCCCACTGAGATCCTCGCCAGTCTCCTCATCTTGTAGCTGAAGAAAACACAGACTCACAGAGGGAAGGAAGTTCACGGCAGAAAAGAACTACAACCCAAATCTCCAGCCCAGATCTTTCCACTTCACTCAAGACCCCCTGGGTTTGGCCCTCTTTCATCTACAGAGAGGTCAGCCCTTGTGCTAGGAGAACTTTGTGGGAAATAAGCATAACCAGAACTAAAATGTAAAAGGTTGCTTAGCAACTAGAAAGGTGGGCATGTGTGTTTTTGCCACCTGGCCTCCACTTTACCCTTTTTTTCTGATGTTCCTCATCCCCAGGCTTCCTCTAGAGGGACCACTCACATCCACAGCGTCTGCACCCCAGTGGAATTATTTCCAGGAGTTCATTTCACTTCCTGATATAGGAGTCGGCATGTGCCTCAGGTTTGGCCAATCAGAGCATCACATTTTCCTGGCCACGGTGATTGGCTCAGGAATAGACATGTGACCTCAGCTCAGCCATTCTCCCTTTGTCCCCCCAGAATCCTGTATGTTGAGAGTAGGGCAGGAGTAGAAGATGTGGCTGGGATCTATTAATTCCTGCTGGTGTTTTTCAGCCCAAGTCTTTAGCCTGCTAGACAATTCGTCCTAACTGAAGGCCCTTCTGCAGCCCTTTTGAAATGGTAGTTAGGCAATCAAGTGATAACATTGTTTCCCTTACTTCCTGACAAGACTCTTTTCACCGAGAGGTATACTTAACTTGGAAAATGAGACTCGATGCAAGAAAATTCAGCGGACACAAAGTTTTTGCATGAGTCCTTTAAGTCAGTGATTCTCTGTGAGGTCCCTAGATCAGCAGCACCAGCAGCCCCTGGGAACTTAAAAATGCAAATTCTCAGGCCCCACACCAGACCTGAGGTATTAGAAACTCTGGGGGAAAGGCCAGCAGCTTGGGTTTTTCAGAAACTCTCCAGGTGATTCTTATGCCCACTAGAGCTTGAGAACTTCTGCTTTAAACCACTAAGCCGCCTGTCTGGCTCAGTCGTTGGAGCTTGACTCTTGATCTTGGGGTTGTGAGTTTGAGCCCCACATTGGGTGTAGAGATTACTTAAAAAAATAAAATCTAAAAAGAAATCAAAACACTAAGTTCAGTCCTATATGAATTTACATAAAACATTCAAGTGTGAACTATGTGTCAGGTTTTCTTTAAATAAGTTCTACACCCATTGTGAGGCTTGAACTCACCACCCTGAAATCAAGTCACATGCTCTACCGACTCAGCCAGCCAGGCACCCCTCAATTTTTTTAATTGTTAGAAAAATTTCAAATAGGGGCACCTGGGTGGCTCAGTCAGTTGAGCCTCCAACATCGGCTCAGGTCATAATCTCACAGCTCATGGGTTCCAGACCCACATCAGGTTCTGGGCTGACAGCTCAGAGCCTGGAACCTGCTTCAGATTCTGTGTCTCCCTCTCTCTCTGCCCCTCTCCTGCTTACACTCTGTCTCTCTCGCTCAAAAATAAACGTTTAGGGGTGCCTGGGTGGCTTGGTCGGTTAAGCATCCGACTTGGCTCAGGTCATGATCTCACGGTCCATGAGTTCGAGCCCCGCATCGGGCTCTGTGCTGACAGCTCGGAGCCTGGAGCCTGTTTCAGATTCTGTGTCTCCCTCTCTCTCTGCCCCTCCCCTGTTCATGCTCTGTCTCTCTCTGTCTCAAAAATAAATAAACGTTAAAAAAAATTTCATAAAAAAAATAACAATAAATAAACGTTTAAAAAATAAATAGATAAATAAAAATTCAAATATGAAAGGGAAAAGATGCCTAAAACTTACGTGTCACTCCAGAACAAATTTTACAAGATTATTTTCTGTTCATCTAATGACCTGACAACAAGGTTCAGCCTCAGACTTACATTCTCGCTCGGCTACCTGCTGGCTGTGTGAATTCTGGCAAGTTACATCACTTTAGGCCTCAGTTTCCTTATGTAAAACACCTGCAATAATAACACCTCCTTCACAGGTCAAGTGACATTAAACGAGATCGTGTAAAACTACTTGCACATAAGATCTCAGTACATTTCAGCTCATTATTATGTATATGGGATTAAGGCTACCAGTTACTCATTTAGAAGCACTGACTCCCTTGTACCATCCCAGGCTGGCTGAGACCACGTGTACCGTTTGTCTAGCCTGAGATCACACCAAGTGGAATCCGAAAGCCTACGTCGGAGGCTTAGCACTGCCAGTATCTTACCACGTGGCACTCAGTGAGCCAACTTTCATCCCAGAACCTCAGTTTCCTCAAGTGTTAAACAACCGGATGTGACTAGCTGAGCTCTAAGGTCCTTAGACCTGGCACTCTAAAATCCTATGCCTTAAGTTTTGAAAAGAATTTTTCTAATCGGCTGTGGGAGGCACAGGCGGCGGTGCCAAAGCGTGTCCGAGAGCAGCTCTTTCTTAGGACGCACGGAAAGAGAACAAAGCTGTACAGGGGGGGCACGAGAGGCAAGCAAGCCTTCCCACGGAGCAAATGTCCCCATAGATTTACCCACCTGTCTCAGGGACCACCCCATCCCCAGACCGTACCGCCATGGAACCCATTTCCTCATTCAGCCAGGAGAAACACTCTCCCTCTCTCCGGGTCCTGCCAGATGCTTCATCACCTGGCTTGCGCTGAGTACTCAGCAACTCTGGCCAAGGGCCCTCCCCGAACAGAAAACACTGCAGCCGCTACCCCCTTGAACCTGCCAATAAGAACAAGAAGTTCAGTCACTGCTGGGTTTTAAGCCAGGTTCCAGCGCATCCCGTAAGAGCGCTGCTCTGCTTCAGCCAAAACAGCGTGGCATCACGTGACCTTTTTCCTCTTCGTCTTTTTATTTATCTACGCTTTCCATGGTGTTTCTCTCTACACTGTAGGTTTATTATTTCTGTTTTATCCTCAAAGCAGTCGTCTTCGGAGACCCTCACCAAGCACAGTGAGTCTTCTTTGGCGGCAAGAGCACAGTGTTCCGGGAGGGTGGCGGCCCCAGGTAACGGGCATCCTGGGCAAGTCACTTAGCATCCCAGGCTCTGCTCGTCACTGTCGTAAAGTAAGGGGAGGTTGGAGCAGCACATAACCTAGAATACTTCCCAAATCTGCTAACCGCCATTCAAGGGGTGGTGGGAGGCACAAATGCTATGCAGATAGTCCTACCCCCTCTGCAACCACTGCCTGGTCTCGGCCAGCTGTTCATGGATGTGAGTAAATAGGGAAGAAAATGTGAACTGACTGATGCAAATCCACCAACAGTACAACCCTGATATCCTGCTAAGGGATGGGAGGGGTGTCAGCAAGTGGGGAGGTCTTGAAAGGCTCACATACTTCCCCAGACCCCCAAACGCATAAACGACAGACTGGGAAGATAGGTGGCCTCTGGAGTCACCCATCTCGTCCATATTTCAGATAAGGAAACCGAGGCCCAAACTGGGGGAGTGAGTCCTCGAGGCCAAACAGAGAGTGGGTGACCCCAGGTCAATGCTCAGCCAACAACAGCCCCCTACTCTGCTTTT